TTTTTTTTTTTTTTTTTCTTCAAGTGAGTGAACCCGGGCGACGCACAGGGCGCCCTCCGCAGTGTGCGCAGGGAAGTGCACCAAGGCTGCGGAGGCAGAGCAGCATGCTGGGTGCAGGATGGTAGGCGAGAAGCGAAAGAAGGGAAATTTGGGAGAGCGGGGTGGGGGGGGGGAAGGAGTGCGAATGGGGACCACGTTAGACTGCAGCGCTAACTAAAAGGGCATGGACTTGGCAACTCCGCGACGAAGCCTGCCTGAGAGGGAGTCTCTGGGACGCAGGGGGCTCCTGAAGCTGGCAGGTTGGTGGCAAAGAGGGGGTCACAACACTGTAGGAAAGTCTTGTCACTGCGAAGGGACGCGGCATCCATCTCTCCTCCGGAACTGAGGAGAGAGAAGGTCTGAGAGCCCAACCTCCCCTGGTCTTCACCTCCCCCAGGCCGTGCCCCTTTCTGAACAGAGCACCAGGACGGGGAGTTCAGGGCCTCCAGTCACCCCACCCGAGTCACTGAGCTGCGGCGAGCCCGCGGCAGGTACGTGAGTGAGTCGCGGTGTGCACGGCCCTCGGGCGGCCCCGAGCAGCCAAATGAAGGCGACTGCATGTCTGGGTTGGTCCAGGTGTGTCCCTGTCGCAGCCTCGGGAGTCTGGAGGCATCTGAAAACCCGCAGGTGCTTGTGCCCCGGCTGGGAGGGGTGGGGGTGGGGACAGAGGGAAGGGCTGGGGAGCCGGTCCTCTTCGCCCCCCTATCATCTCCCCACCCTCGCTGCTTCGGGATCTGATTCGTTACCTTCGAAAATGCTTAGATCTTCGGTCCAGGGTGGGGCAGAAGAGAAGGTAGAGAAGGAAAAACAGGTGACTCCTGGAACCCGCCACACCCTTACTCTTTTCCCGTCCACCTGCTCGGTCCTAGTACTCCACCCATACCTCAGTCTACACTCTACTGCACCTTCAGCCCGTCCTCAGATAAGGCTTCCCTTTCCTTCTGAGGAAAGCTGGGAAACCGGAGCCCACCCAGCCCGCCCGCCGGCCGGCCTCACCTGTCCTAGTCTCCACTGGGGCCGCCGCCCGTGCTTCCCCGGGCGCCCCCAGCTCCGCCTGGTCCCCCGGGGCCCGGACCCTTCCGGCCACGCTCTCCACTCTTTATCTTCTTCCGCGCCATGTGGCCCCGGAAACTCGCCTGAATTTTGGCAGCGGCCGCATTGGCACCAGGATCGTCCAGCGGGATGTCTAGAATGTCGTCCTCCGGCTTGGAGCAGGCGCTCTCCTGGGGAGGGCAGGGAGGTTTTAGTGAGGTGACTGGGCAGACACTCTGCGGATTTAGGTTAGGACTAGAGCCCTAGGGGATTGAGACCGGGCAAAGCGGATGGGAGGGAGGTGAGGGAGCTGAGCTGCATCTATATGAGTGTGCGTGTTTCCTCCTGGCTAGCAGCAGGTGGAAGAGGAAGGGTCAGGACCAGGTGGATGCAAGTCAAGAATGAGAGACGCATGGTGGGGTGGGATGCAAGAAACCGAACAGCCTTTTTTAATAGCCATTAACAGTAGGCAAGCTGCAGGGTTAAGAGGACTGTGAAATTAGGCAGCAGACGCTCTGGATATGGCCACCCACCCCCTGCCTGCAGAGGGTGCCTCTAGCTCAGAAGGGTCCCTTCCAACTCCAGGCTTCTCTGGGGAGAGGGTGCAAAAGGCTCAGCGAGACAGCCTCTCCCTGCAGAGATCTGCACCAGAGCTCATTACTAGAATTAGGAAGAGGATGGGGCCACTGCTCAGCGGGTCAGCCAAGCCGACTGAGGGCAAGAGGTCTGGAGACTGCTTTCTCGTGGATCCTCTATTTCCTACTCTTCTCCAGGTTGAACCAAAAACAAAAAGAGGAGATAGTCTGAAGAAAAAGTGTCACTTAAAAAGGAAGAAAGAAAGAAGACAAGGAAATGATCAGTAGAAGCAAGAAGCCCTTCCCTGTTGCACTGGGAAAAAAGGAATTAGGACAATGGCTACCATTTAAGCACTTATTTTGTTCCAGGTGCACTGACATGGTGTTTTACAGACATTATTTAATCCTCAACAATAAAGTGATGAGATGCCCTTTTAATAGTGTACCATAATAAAACTGATGATTGGAATGCTTTAAAAAACTGATGGGAATTATACAGATGGTTATCATTGGACTAAAGATTCAAACCTTTGTGTATCAGAGCCCAGAATACAGTTTTAACCCCTATTTAGTAGAATAAGCAAGTGCAGTCCAGAAAGCCACCTGAGGCTCTACCCCTTGCTATAAGTCTGTGGTCTTGGCCAAGTTATGTAATCCTTCCCTATCTTAGCTCCTTTGTCTGAAAAATCAGGATAATATCCACCTCTATGGGTAGTGGGGAAGAATTAGCATGATATGCACAAAGTTTTCGGCACAGTCTAGTTGCTCAATAAAATGGTAGCTATATGATGGTTTTATATAATATTAAGTTGATCAAAATAGTTGCCTCTGTAGAATAAAAGTGTCCACATAATGAGTTCCACACAATGACCCACTAATACAGTCATGTACCACATAAAGATGTTTTGATCAATGACAGGTATATAATGATAGTCCCATCAGATTAGAACACCTGGAGTTATCACAGTTGTCTTAGTTTGTGTAGCTATACTGGAGGTCTTCTACGTGATTACTGGCTAACAATACTTGTTTTTGGTTTTTTTTTTTTTTTTTTTTTTTTTTTTTTTTT